CCAGTCTGCTTATGTAGCATTCATTATGCACCACAGTACCTTGTAGCTCAAGGTAATGTAGAAAAATCTCCCTCATTGTAGCCATTCAGTTCCTCAACTTGTACAGTTCTGTTTTTAAGGAGATTGTACTTTGACTGTTAAAGCTAATGACAGAGGCTTGATCTTGATAGAGAACTTAGCAAAGGTAAAGGTAACTTAAATATGATATTTGCCACTGGATTTCTTTTTTCTTTTCATTTTTCATTTGAACAATCAAGTTATTGTCTCTGTAAAACACAATCTGGATTTAACTGAGTCACAAGATACTTGGCACAAGTTTTTGTGCCAAACTGAAGCTATGAAATTTGATTTTTATAATCACTGGACAATTTTTTTGTGTGCGCGTCTACAGTATTCATATTACTAGTGCATTCGTATTACTAGTTTTAGTCAAATTGAAATTAAAATGGGGTTTTTAATTTAAGAGTCATTATTTGCTATCTTAGTTACATCAGTATCTAGATAAACTTCTTGTTCTTTTTGTGAAACATCTGAGTTTGTGTATCTGGAATGCAGAAGCTTGTCTTGTTCAATCTGAGTGTTTTGACAGAGAGACACTTGGTTGTTGGGGAGAAAGTGTCTTGTGACTCTACTTTTTGAAAATGCATGAATTTGAGTCAAATGTAAAGGAGAAGCTCATTTCGGGACTGCAGGCTTAGTTTTATGCTCAGAGGTTCTATGGAGACAGTCCTTTGGATCTGATACTGATCCCATTTTGAGAGCAAGCTGCCTGTGTCATAGGCTGTGAGGAGGGAGGGAGGGGGTTAACATCCGAAAATCAAGACTGCCGGGTTGTGGTTAGCCTCCCTGTTAGCCTGAGCATCACTGCCACTGTCTGGGTTTCAAATACATAGAACTTGGCAGCTGGTTTTTTCCAAACATGTCATATTTTTCAAGTGTGAAAGCACTGGTTTTTCCACACTTTTGCCCTTGCAGTTTTCCTCTGCAGTTTGATTGAAGGGTTTGCTGCTGCAATGTTTTCCTTGTTGCCAGCCCCAGTCTCCTGGCCTGTGTTTATTTTCCTGTCTGGGATGAAACTCAGATGTTAGTGAGTCAAATACTTTCGAAGGCTGTGGCTTTATCTTCCACTTGATTTTTTTGTCTTCTCCAGACTTCATGTAGAGGAGTATAGGGCTGCACCAGGATGTTCAGAAGTGATGTCGTGAGAGTGTTGGGGTTTTCAGGGTGGGGGGTACTTAGTGTAGTTTCAGTATAGACTAACAGGGCAGAAATGCCCCAACTGCTGTGGAGAACCTGAAGGCAAACCTAGTGTTGTCTGGCCTGCCTCTGTGTTCAGTCGGCTGTGAGACACAAATCAAAAGGAATTAGTTCAAGTGTTCGTGGAACTACTTGTTGTCTATTTCTCTCTGCTCCTAAGACAAGACAGCATCTCAGCCCACAGGAGTTGAGTGGAAAAGATTGATGAAAGTCAAAGGGACTGGCTTTGTGCTATGAAAATAAAATATAGTTTTATGGATGACACTTATCAGAATCATTGGCCAGCTTTGACCATAACCATACTTTGAACATTTAAGAGATTATTTTCTTAAAAAAAATTATTCCAGGCAGAAAAGAACCTTAGAAATTGGAGATTGTTCCATACTCTAAACACACTTTATAAAGAGCCTAACTCATTTAGTAACTAGTTGGCTGATGTTTTTTATTGCAGTCGGAGAATCCTTAGAGAGAGTATTTCTGTTTAATGTGGAAGTTACCAGTAGTTTAGCATATCTCATATCCTTTTTACCAAATTTTTATTTTAGAAAAAAACAGTAAATGCTTGTTTTAATCTTGAGCCTTGTCCATTTGATTTTATTATTTTATTTTTTTTTTTACTTAAATGCAGTTGCTGACCATATCTTAAGCTGCAGGGCTAAAGGTGATGTACATTTCTATTTAATACCACTTGAAATAAGTTGTGTATTTATTGTAAATATTTGTAAAAGGCTATGAAGGAGATGAGTATAGTCCTGGTTACAGGAGTGCTTTTTTGGGTTGTTTTCTTTTTTTTTTCCTTTTTGGAAGTAATAAAAAACCCCAGTGATGTTAGATGTTAGGTTTTGAAAAACAAACTTGATTTCTTGCTGGCAGAATGATTTGTGCAGGAGCCTCTCACTTGGTGTCTTCCATCGCTGTGCTGTCACATGTACTTAACCAGCTTCTGTAACTGATGCGGGCAAACTTTGTGTCATGTTTTGTTCGGTGACACCTGTTGCTGTTTAAAATTTCAGGTTCAAATGGGAATGAATAGTTAATATTTCTTTAAAAATATCAAGAAATACGAAAGCTTACTGGTGACCTAAGTATTTGTTTTATATACTCATACTCTGCTGTATTTGTATACTGTGCTCAGTTTGTATAGAACCATGTGACATAATTGTTGAGATCATATAAAGATCATTGCCTAAAAATTTCATGAAGGTGTCAGCAGTTAGTAATGCTTAATTGGCATCTGAACACACTTTATTTCAGTGATACTTTCCAATAAAAAGAAAGTAATAATCTGAGAGGTTTCTAAGGTTCATCTTTCTTGAAATGAAAGACTATTGGGAAAGAAATTTATTTTTTTTTAAAACCAACTTATTTTGATACTATAGTACTTGGATCTGAGTTGAGGCTTCATCATTATTATACATTAGTGCTTCTTTGACTACTACTGAAGTTAGTTCTGCAATAAATGTAGCATTACTTTATGCCAAGAGATTAGTTGTTAGATCATAAAGCACATTTAGATGGAAAATATTGAAGTGCTCTGTTTTTTGGATATTGACTTAATTATTTGATATTGATTTCTTAATTTAACCCATTAATTCTAAGTCAACGTGTACAGGATGTGAATGTGAGTTCCCATTGTGTCATGTAGTATGCTGCTTGTTATTACTGATTTATAGGTTTTGTCAATTTTTTTTATAGATACACAGCTTTTCTTTCTATCACTTCATTATTACGTCAGTATTGTCATGTTTCATTGTATTTTCATTAGAACGGATTTCATTAAAATTCAGGGTGGGTTTTTTTTCCTAGTCTTTGTGTACAGGCACCTTGTCTGTAATTCTGATTTTGAGGGCATCAAAGCAATGCCCAGATACTGACTGTCTTCTTTGTAATTACCTCGGGGTTTCTTGTATTTCTAAATGTTTGTGAATTGCTTCCTTTCTGTCACGCTGTTCATTTTCAGTGTTCAATAACAACCATAGACATGGTTGTATGTGCTAATAACTCTTTTTTTGAAAACAAGGAAAAGGTGAATAATCCCTACCGTAATTTGAAAGATAAAATACCAGTAAACTATTTTAGCTTAAAACGAAAGGTCTTGAAATGTGTTAATGTTTTCCTTATGTTGATGGAAATAATAGAAAAGAAACCAGTCACAAATGTGCTTCTGTGGAATCAGTTACAAGTGAAACCACTTTACAGCAAAGACGGTGCTTACTTTGTAAATTTTGAGCTAAGAGTTACTGAAGACGTGAAATCTGAGCAGCAAACGTCTGTTAGCATGTTAGTTTAGAGGCAAAATGGAGAAAAATACCTTTTGAAAATTTAGGAGTATACTCTACTTTTTAAAATAGTTTAATTAGAAAATAGTTACTCGCTAATACAGTATTCAAAATAGTTTTTGTCTTTTGAACATTGAGGGGAATTGTCACTATGTGGATTTTTATTGTTTTTTTTTAAATTGAGATAAAGCAACTTAGTGTGTAAGTATGTGCAGCACAATTAGTACAGTAAAAGTGTGTGTGTTGGGGAGGAATCACTTCTAAGAGCCCAAGAATTTAGTACGTGGCTATTGTTTTTTTAAAGAAAAATTAGACTTGCTATTTTTCTGCAAATTCTGATCATCAGGCTTCTAATTGTATTCTGTCTTCAGGAAGTAAAAAATTATGTCTTTGTGCATTTGCTGTCAACCCTGGGAGCAATTTCTGAAACTTTTTTTGTAACCACCCCAATGGAGGAGCACTGAGATGCTTTCTTAGATGTATGTGTGCTAGGTTAAACAGTCTTTAAGCTTGGTGTAAAAGGGAGTTTTCTTCATCCTTAAGAGTTCTTATTGCCCAAACATACTACGCTCATATTGCAGTGCTGGTAGAACAGTATTAGTAATGTATTTTGCATTTTAGAATCACTGCCTATGCTCAAAGGAGTTTGTTCGTGAAAGTAACTCTCTCTTTTATTAAAAATCTGTTGTAAAGGAAATGTTGAATAAAGGAGAGGTGAACGAGAGCTGTTCAGTGGGAAAAATATACTCAAATACAGCTTGATCTGTCACATCATGTAACAGAGCTACCACCTGTCAGCAAACGTATTTGTTTTAGCCGACTTCTTTCATTTGGGTATGAGATTTGGAAGAATAGCTTGTTTGTCTCTAACTCTTGATGACCACATGGGTCTCACTCACTTTTGCAAGTATGCTTAGTTTTCATGAACATCCATGAGGAGTTGCTCTTGAAGGTAGCTAGTTCCTGGCTATATCTGAAATATCTTCCTGGATAAAGGGTATAACTGGCTGCAGTTCATTATAAAACAGATGGATATCTTCTGCTGGATGTCCTGATTTGCATAGCACTTAGAAATCTTAATCCAGGAGGAGATGGGGAAGATGAAGCGAAATCGACCTTTCTTGAATGTAAAATAGCCTTTGATGCAAAAACATGCAATGTCGACCATCTAAAATGCCTGAAGTTTCTCACAAGTTTTTGCTACTGTCAGCCTCTCATTTCTTAACTTTCCAGTATACTTAATTGTTCCAAGCATCCAAATGATACTTGATTTTTATTTTCATTGTATATTAACTTTCTCTGTAGTTTTTTTCTCTAAGTTTTATCGTAAAATGAACGTAGGACTTTTAATGTTTAATATTAATTAAAATAACTTGAGTTTTGTTCTTTCTGTAAAAGGATATCTGAAGAATTTTTACAAATTTTTATCTTGGAAATTAGCTTATTCATTATGTTTAATTTTAGGAAATGGTGCTCTTGCAGAACGTTCTGAAAATGTGCATATTTCAGGAGTGTCAACGGGTAAGTCATTTTTTGTAATGTTTAAATTTCATGCATGACTTAAATAGTAAATATTGAAAGCCACCTGGTATCTTATGAAGAGATATTTGGCTATAAAAATTATTACTGCCTTTTGCAGCATGTAATAAGGAATGAAGCAACTGGAACATGGAAAAATTCTCATAAGATAAAATTGATACCTGCATGCTCATGAACAGATTATGCCTTTCTAAGTGGACTGCTTAATTATTTTTCCATACAAACATTGAACTAAGAGAAAAGTTGATTTAAGTTGAATTGATATTTTCTCTCCACAGTAAAGTTTTTGTGAAATGAAATTTATTGAAATGTAATTTTGGACACTGCTACTATCAAATAATATAAATCCAGGAGTTATGCATTTCACCTGATTAGATTGAAGCAGTAACTGAAACTACTGTACACTTGACTGCACAGTTTCCTTAATACAAGAAAAAAGAATTTTAGACCCCGTGAAACTGAGAAACTGATGAAATGCTGGGAGAATACGCGTTATAAAAGCAGCACACGTTGCTCAAATGTTGATCCCTTCTGTTCCAGTAAGTTGGTCTTGGGCCTCTTCTGGCCAGCAGCCCTGGTGGGGACTGTTCTGTGTTGGTGATGTGTCTCTGTGTCTGTTAAGGCATTACATGATACCAGTGTATAGTCCTTGTTCTTCAGATGCTAAACTGTGTCAGCTAAGCTGCTGGTCATGTTTCATGATACAGATATTCAGAATATGTGCAAATGGGGAGGTGAACACTCTTCTTCAGTGGGTACATGTCATCGTTTAGGCCCAACTGGTAACTAAACACCATGCAGCCAGTCACTCGCTAATTCGCCCCAGTGAGATGGGGATGAGAAAATAGGCTTGTGGGTCAAGACAAGGACAGGGAGAGATCACTCACCAATTATGGTCATGGGCAAACCAGACTTGATTTAGAAGAAAAAAAATCTATATAATCTGTTACCAATCAGATCAGAGTAGGAGAATGAAAAATAAAACCAAATCTTAAAAAAACCACCTTCCCCTTACTCCTCTCTTCTTCCCGGGCTTGACTTGACTCCCAGATTCTCTTAACTTTTCCCTGCTGGCAGTGCAGGAGGATAAGGAGAGGGAGTTGTGGTCAGTTCATCATGCATTGTCTCTGCTGTTTCTTCCTCCTCAGGGGAAGGACTCCTCACGCTCTTTCTCTGCTCCAGTGTGGGGTCCCTCCCATGGGAGACAGTTCTCCTCAAACTTCTCCGGCAGAGGTCCTTCACGTGAACTGCTGCAGCGTGGATCCCTTCTGTGGGGTGCAGCCCTTCGGAAACAGACTGCTTTAGTGGAGGTTGCCCTCAAGAGTCACAGTATTCTTTTGGACAGCCACCTGTTCTGTCTTGGGGTTCTCCATGGGCTGCAGGTGTACATCTGCTCCACTGTTAACCTCTGTGGGCTGCAGGGGGATAGCCTGCCTCACCGTAGTCTTCATCATGGGCTGCAGTGGAATCTCTGTTCTGGTGCCTCGAGCATCTCCTCCCCCTACTTCTTTGCTGACCTTGGTGTCTGCAGAGCTGTTTGTCACATCCCACTCCTCCCTCTGCTGCAGGTTCACAGAAGTTTATTTTTTTTCCCCCTTCTTAAATATGTTATCACAGAGACTCTACCACTGTTGCTGATGGGCTCAGCCTTGGCCAGTGGTAGGTCTGTCTTGGAGCTGGGGAAGGTTCTAGCAGCTTCTCATGGAAGCCACCCTGTAGTCCCTCCTCTGCTACCAAAACTCCACCACGTAAACCTGGCACAGTAGAAGAACATAAGCCTGATTCTTTCAGTATGGAAGCTGCCACTAATCCCTGGGAATCAAACTGATTTTCACACCCTTTTCCTAAAATAAGAGTCAAAATGCAAACTCGTCCTTTCTGACAACAGCTTCAACACCTCGCTGTAGTTACAGTTGTGGTATCACTTCAAACACTGCATTGCTACTTGTGCGCATGGTTAAGTAAATAAATGTACAGTTAGTGGATGGCCTCTGTTACACCATATTAACCTTCTTTTTCCATTTCATTCTTTGCCATTCAGAAGACTATGTCAGAAGTCTAATTATAGATCTTTGCTGTCCATTCTTCTGTTGCATCATGAAGAATTTGGTTGCATTTAAACAGTAGTAACACACCAAGTATCATAGTGTCATGGTTTAACAGCAGCTGGTGACGAAGCACCACACATACTTGCTTACTTCCCCCGGTGGGGTGAGGAGAGAATCAGAAGAGTAAAGTGAGAAAACTCATGGGTTGAGATAAAGATGGCTTAACAGGTAAAGCAAAAACTGCATGCGCAAACAGGAAAAGCAGGAGTAAAGCAAGCAATTTGTACACCACTTCCCATCCGCAGGTAGGTGTTCAGCCACGTCCAGGAGAGCAGGGCTCCGACACACATATCAGCTGTTTGGGAAGACAAACGCCATCACTCTGAACATTCCCCTCTTCCTTGTTCTTCCCCGAGCTTTATATGCTGAGCATGACATGATATGGTATGGGATATCCTTTTAGTCAGTTGGGGTTTGCTGACCCGGCTGTGTCTCCTCTCAGCTTCTTGTGCACCCCCAGCCTGCTTGCTGGTGGGGTGGGAAGAGAAACAGAAAGAGCCTTAATTTGGTGTAAGCTCTGCTCAGCAGTAGCTGAAACGTTCCTAAGTTACCAATGCTGGTTTCAGCACAAATGTAAAGCAGACTCATAGTAGTTACTGTGGGAAAATTAACAAACTATTTCCCATCCAAAATTGGCACATTCTCCAGCCCTTATTCCATACCTTTTATATCATACTCAGGCCACACACTATCCTGTACACATATTTAGTACTTTCATGGCATACTGTAAATAATAAATAAGAGCACAGGTACTTGCCACTGTTGGAACATTGTTGCTGGAATTGGATTCTATGAGATAAATCTAGCTATGCAGCTTTCAGGATATGTTTTAACAATCCTTCACCTCTTTGTTTACTGCAGCAGTCAATGTCACAGGTCACAATACAGGCAGAAAAGCATCTGCTGGGCAAGAGGTGAATGGAATTTTTGACTCTGCTTTCAGAGCTTTGGCCAGCATGCTTGAACAGGCAGTGCCAAGAAGAGAACACAATGTACTTTCTCTGCAAGATAGCAGCTGGTAGACAGACTTGTAACTACTGAAAAGAAAGATCCATTGAGGGCTTCCATTTTAAAATAAATTAATAAATATATATATATAAAAGTAGTTCTGATGATCTTGTGTTCTAAAATAGTTTTCTAGCTGGGAAAGAATAAATGTCATACTCTTAAGATTTCTATCTTCATATAAAGTGAAATTTTTTCACTGGAGAATTTCGAGGTAATGGGAATGGGGGTGGTCTGTTAGTGAAAACCTAAAGAAAGCATGCAAACAGATTCACCTGCATTTCCCTTACAGTTCTTTGTATGTACATCTTAAAGTTTTGGTATATGGCCCAAGTATAAAAGATGGAGATGGATTTATATGAATTTTTTAATTCCTTTGAAACAATATGAGTCTCCCAAACATGTTTTTGAATTTGCAGATTATATATTTCATCAAGCATACTTGGACAACTTTATTAGAACAATTTTAAGCAGAATTTCTGTAAAATAGAGCCCAAGACATCTGGCCTTTAATCTTGCTTAATCGAACTGTAACTTGGTCTTGAAACCAAGCAAGCAGTTTTCTTGGATATTTGCTACTGAGAAGGGATTTAAAATGAAATGATTGTCTTGGTGGTAGATTTCCTGTCATGCTGCTGCTGTAAGGCTACATGACCTACCTTACTAAATTATGTTTTAATAGCACAGACCTCTGTGGTCTCTGGTATTTATGCTTCTGCTGTATATTACATCTGCCAAGTTACAGGTACGCCTCTAATATATGAGCATGTTTTTTCTACCAACAGTAGTAATGGAATGTTGTCTCCTGTGTATAAGCTATGACTAGAGAACAAGTGTTTATGCCTTTAAAATCTGAAAAATTGAGAAATATTTTCAGATCTGTCTTTGGGGTATGTTGTACTGTAATTGTCACAACTGCAAAATCAGTCCCTCCCCACTCCTCCAGTTTAAAAGAGTTTCTGCACTGGTGAAAATACTTATTCGCAACCATTTAAGAAAAAAAAAAAGTAAATGATAATGACTCTTTTTTACTGAGTGTCTCTGTATTGCAAAGCAAAGGGCATTTTAAATTAAAGCTTTACAGCCTGACCTAGCGGCAAAGATTCCTGTGCCTTCCTTTCCCTGTAGTTCTCTGTATAAGACTTTCAGCGACTCCTGAGAGTTACAAATGCAATAATTATCCTCCCTATTCATGGTTTAGACTTTATCACAACATTATTCTCTTTTTACTCTAAGCTGTTTTAAACACCTTCAGATCATTTATCCAGCTGCATTCATGTCCTTACCATGTCCAATATAATGCATACCTTATCATCTTGTGGTTCACATTGAAAGCTAATTCTTTTATCTTTTCAACTAATCTCCTGGCATTACTGTGAAGATAAATCCCTAATCTCCCTCTCCCTGCTTTTCTGAAGTGACTTTTTTCCTTGACGTGTTGTTCACTGTTACTACAGGTACTTTCTAGATCTTGCTACAGAATTTTTGCATAGGTTCCTTAATTATTTTCTTATTGTAACTTGCAAATTGAATTTGGTACTGTAAAGTTTTCATCGTCTCTCTTCTGTGTGCCAGTCAACATCCTACAGGTCGTGCACAGTCATGTTCTGTAATGTGGGGCAGTGAACAAATTTCAGGAAGAATAAGCAATAAGGAAAACTGATTTATGTGTTTTTAAAAAGTCTGCAAGAAAATGCATATATGTCAGAATACCATGTGCACAGCTTATCCTCTGAGCAGTTTTTTTTACTATTATTTTGTGCTCTAGTCTGTGAAACATTTGCAGTCCTAATTACAGTATTGCATCTGCTGAACAGAGTTAAAGCAAAGTAACAAACAGAATTGCAGATAGATTGCTAATAAAGGCTAACAAAGGAAAGAGTTTAAAACAAGTAGGAGATGGATGAGCAAAGATAAAAAGAATATAGGGCAATTGAGAGGAGTGTAGGCAGAGACAACACTGGTGTAGAAATGGTTGCATTGGAGGGATTTGTTAGCAACCAAAAATCTTACAGCCACCAGCATGAGTTTTGAAAACATCTTGGGCATGCGTTACTGTGTGTCTTTGCTTCTCTACAGTGCAATCTTCTCAGTTTGTTCTGTGCTTCTGACCCAGGTGCAAACTCGTCTCCTTTTTTCTGACTCCTCCAGTTTTTGTTCTGCTGTTTTCTTACGTGTTTTTATATTAAATTTTAAAATAAATTATTCCAAACCCAGTCACTTTTCCTGTATTTTGAAGTTCTTGTAGATATAGCACACACTAGCAATTGAAATTAAAGTGAAAATTCTCCACAACTTAGTATAAAGACGTTTGCCTCTCTTGATAGATTCGTTTTATGCTGTCAGTTGTTTTTTTTTTTGATTGCCACACCCTTCTTGATGTTGATCATATTCTTCGTGTTTACAAACACATGAATAAAATGTGTATTACTTTATATTCTCAGAAGCTTTAGAAGAAACATCTCAGTTAGGCAGGGTGTCATGAATTGATTTTGAAAGGCTTGTTATTATCTTTATAAAGTAATTCTCTTTAAAACTGTTCTCTTTCAAAAGGTTATCCTTTAACTTATCAAAAAGATTTTTAAAATAAAGTTATTCTCTCTGAAAATGACAGCATTTCCTGAAGTGTAGCTTCAACACAGTTGATCTTGACCTTTAGACACTTCTGAAGCAAATGGGAGATTTCTTTTGTCTCCTGAGTTATAAGAGAATTCAGTGCATGAATGTGTACTAGGTATGCAAATACATCTAGCTTATCTAGTGAACTTGGAGTTAAGGATTCTATAATTCCCTTTTCAAGTCCATTCCCTTTTACTTTTTGAACCATCACGTTGTCATACGCACACTTTATTCAGTTTGATTTTTTTTTTTCTCCCTTCTGCAGCAGAAGTACAATCCTGTTCCCTGTATTGTAGTCCCTGTGATTATTCTTGCTTCCTCATGCCCTCCTTATCCCATATTGGATGGTGCTGGATATGGACATATTTTGCCCTCAGCTCTTCAGTGCCAGCTTTAGTGGAAACAGCCATCTTAAGTTAAAGGATATAAAAAATACAGAGTTATGACTGGTATTGCAAACAAAGGTTGAAGAAATCTGAATTTGAGGAAACACTAAGTTTCAAGGGTGCTCTGAAAATACTGCCTTGGTTATACTGGCTTTCGCTGTGGATTTTCATCTATTCATATTTGTGTAACAAGTCAACGTCAATGCTTGTACTACTGCAGGGATTGAGAAATTATAGTTGTCAGGGTGTGCTGTGCCAGTACAGGAAGTTGCAAAGCTAATTGCACAGTAATTTACAGCTGCTAGCAGTGTTTGGAGGTTCCTATTTAACAGATATATGCTGTATATATATTTATAGCATGCTTAAGTTTTTGGAGGTGAACAAACATACAGTGAATGGATTATTTTTATCTTCTATTTAAGGTTTTTCTTTGTCAGCCAAATTTAAAAGCTTCCTCACAAGTTCTCGGTGACAAAACCTCGTATATCAGTTTGTAAATATCAAAAAACAGATGACGGTTATAATAGTATAAATTTCACCTGAAGGCAACTTAATTTAAGCTGACTGCTATTTCACCAGGAACCAAATAGTGTGTGGAATTGTTGCCAACATCTGCAAGCTTGGTGCATGTGTTTTACATATACTTCTACTTTTTTGCATGTGCTTTTATTTAATACTTACTAAAGATGCTATTTTATTTCAATGTTTATTTGCACGTAACCAATTTTTCTTTCTAGTCCTTCTATTTCTTGTCTGAACAGATGTAAAGTTTATCCAGATTGTTCACACAGTAGTGTTCCAAAATATCATGGTGTTAGAGCACCACCTATAGGGTTTGCTCAAGATTAAATTAAGAAAGTTTCCAGGGAATAGTTAATTGAATATTCAAATAAAATAATATTTTTCTCGATTTCATAACCAAATACATCAATACTGAACTGTGGAGCATGAATAAAGCTCTAATAAGAAATATGAAAAAATATTTAAAGCTATGTTTTCTTACAGCTGTATGTGAAACAGTAAATTTACTGAGTTTTATTTTTGTTTCTACGTTTCTGTATTTAAAATATTACAGAAGATGCAGGCGTCTGCCAGCATTTGTGGATTTTAATCCTTTTAAACCTATTTTTAGAAATGTATTATGCTATATAGAAATATTTTTAATGCTAATAATCTAAGACTGTAGCTTTTTACTTTTTACTGTATTCATCAATTTCAGGTCCTGGTTGTCTTGAAAAATGATCTTAAATGTTTGATTGTGGATAAAAATAGAAAAAGTAATAATCGGTTTAGAAATTACAGTATTAACAACTTTTGCACTGTTACAAATGCAGTTCATTCTTCATGTTTGCTTACTGCATCAATTCTGATTTGTTATTATAATGAAATATTCAAAATCTAAAAATTCTAAAAGCTTTTTTATTATCAGGCATCAAATAATGAAAATGCCTCCTCATTTCTAATAGTCTCGTGATTAAACTACTGTGTGTAACTGATTGTGCTACTTGTAAACTTTGAGAGCCCGCAAGTTTTGGACTAGTAGTGAGGAAATCGTAAAATACAAGCACAGAGCGCAGTTATTTTTAATGGATTTTCTGACCTATAAAACTCCCTCATAGTTTTGGGCTCTGCAGTGAGAGTGTTCTGGCCTTCTTATTTGTGTGAAGGTTGTGAATATGCTGTATGTCAGCTGTTGGATATAAGGCTGCCAAGGGGAAGAAACAAAACCACAAAACCAATAAGTGTATTACTTGAAATAAAATCAGCAGAGCTGAGAACACTTCAGTGGAAGGAACAAGCAATTGAGTTAAGGTCAATACAGAAAGCTACATCTGTAATAAAGTAAGGAAACAAATCGCTTGGTTACTTCAGTTGCATAAAATTAGTCCTATAAGTACAAGCTTTCTAGTCCACTATCAGAAATGTAGTTACACAAGTCTCTCAAGAATAATGTCGTATAAACCTAACTTTTAATATCTATAAATGATGTGTGCTGCACCAAGTGCTCCTTGCCTTCCAAGCACTGGAATCGCTGTATGCAGACTGTTTCCATGTCAGGGGCTGGAAGGGGATACTTAAATGATGGCCAGGCACTGGGTCTTTTTAAGACAGGAAATTTCAACTACCTTATTATTTTACTTTGATCTGTTTTTCATCTTCTAACGCATTTGTCCATGTAAGGTGTAAATGCCTAGTTAAATTGAACTGAGTCTTTTTGAAAGCTAAAAATAAAATGAGGCCATAACAAAAATTTTTACATTTTTAATAATGTTGCAAAAGTCTGTATAGAGTGATTTTTATTTTATTTTTCTTGATCTGTAGTAGTAATTGGCATTAGTACCTCTGGACTGGCAGCTGATATGTATACCTGTGTCAGGGAATGTAATGACAGGACAAGGGCTAATGGTTTCAAACAAAAGGAGGGCAGGTTTAGATTAGACATTAGGAAGAAATTGTTTACTATGAGGGTGGTGGGACACTGGAACAGGTTGTTCAGACAAGCTGTGGATGCCTCATCCCTGGGAGTGTTCAAGGCCAGGTTGGAAGGGGCTTTGAGCAACCTAGTGTAGTGGGAGATGTCCCTGCCCATGGCAGGGGGGTTGGAACTAGATGATCTTTAAGGTCCCTTCCAACCCAAACTGTTCTATGAATTCCTGTAGACATTGTCTTTATTGCTACCTCATCTAACTCAGCGTGATGCTTTCCCTGGTAAATGTTGAATGATTTTATTTTTTTTTAATTATTATTATTTTTGGTCATACTGGCTTTTTTAAAAAAATGGCATTATTCAAGTTACTTTCAATGTATATGTATTTTTTAGCTTGTGGAGATATTCCAGAACAAATTCGATCACCAAGCGGGACAATCACAAGTCCAGGGTGGCCCTCTGAGTATCCTGCACGGATCAACTGTAGCTGGTACATCCATGCAAAGCCAGGGGAGATCATTACTATAAGGTAACAGTGCTCCTGTATTAACCACACGGATTAAAGAAAAACTGACTAGATATTTTTAACCACCAGTTGTGGATGTACCAATTTTCTCTTTTCTGTGAATAGTATTTATTTTGTCTGTTTTCTGCCCTTGCTTTTATCTTCATTGCTCTTACACAGCCATGAAGCATTTGATTTAAACCAAAGAGTTGGTGACTACAAAAAGTTGTGTGTGCTCATTTATTTCTTTTTAATGTCTCTGAAATACAAGAATTTTGCATTAGGAAAAGATATGTAAGGGAAATTCCATAATGCCTCATTGCTATGAAGTCTCCTGGTGTGCTTAAAAGTGACAGGGTGTAAATAATAAATCAATAGATACGGTTGCAGTTTTGGAAATGCTGGCTTTTGGTGTAGGGAGCTCCTCACAGTTTCATATACCTTTTAACTTTTCTAAAGAAGTAATATAAAAAAGTTATGTTGTAGGTTCAAGTTCGCATCAGTTCATGCTCCGTTACTGCCATAAGAAAAATATAGGCTTATTTTAGCATCAAGATACAAATAACTGCTGCTTCACAAGCTGATCTTGAAAGTCCAATAAATGCAGATTGACTTCAGTGTCTGGTACAGACCTGCTGACCTTTGAAGCAGCTCGTCATTATGAAGTATTTGCTTTGACATCAGTTACTCTTTTAAAGTACTGGTTTTTAATTTTAACAGTCTTTGTACTAAATATTAAACTGGCATAAATGTAATATAAAGTAGATAGAGCTGTTCATCTGTTAGAATGCTTTCTAAACTTCTTCATACATTTTTATAAAACTAGTGTGTTTTTTTTTCCTCTCGCATTGTGTTCTTCCACTCATCTACTTAGTGTGTGTTTCACACTTCATTTCTGGATTACTGCTGTGTTGTCTGTACTGACCCATTTTGCCCAGACTGCCTCCTCTTCACACTTCGTTACCATGACAGCATGTCGTGACACAGCTGTGGCTATACCGTGACTTAATCGTTGGGTAGCCAAGTAGTGCAACTGAGAGCAAATCATATCTGAAATCATAGTTTTGAACAATTTAGCTGCACTTAGGCAATGATATGACCTGACATTGTAAGTGTAGCATTAGCTGAATTTCAGATGATGATTGGATTAAATAAAACTACTTAATAGTATGTGAATGTCATTATCCAATTGTCTTTGAATCTCATTTAAACAGAGTTGTTTTGGAGTTTATATATTTTAGGCTTAATGTGTTTTTATAGCAAACCTGAGCTTCTTTTAAGTGTCAGATGCAATGTTTAGTTAACGGAATGGATTCTTTTTGTCCTCATAATATACAGATATCATCATCACAAGATTAAATCCTATTGTTATGTGGGTAGAGAAGGCGCCCTTTTTATTTCAAACCCGAAAAAAGCTTACAGCTACTTTCCATTTTTGTGTGTAGCAATTCATCTGCTTGGTTGTGTAATATCCAGTTCAGTAGCAATTTTGACTTTTTTTTGTCTCCCTTTCTTTTTCCTCAGCTTTCAAGATTTTGATGTTGAGGGATCCCGACGATGCAGCTCAGATTGGTTAACAATTGGAAGCTACAAGAATATTGAAGGCTACAGAGCATGTGGCTCCTCCATTCCTTCACCGTACATCTCTACACAGGATCACGTTTGGATCAAATTTCATTCAGATGATAGCATCTCCAGAAAAGGCTTCAGATTAGCCTACTTTGCTGGTATATTTCAAATGATACCTCATTTATGTTTTGGGGTTTTTTTCTGTTTCTGGAAATACTTCGCTGTAGGATAGAGTATATATTTATTACCTGTAGTCAATTCAAGGCTTATTGAAAGTATACATTGTGTAGGTTATTTTAATCTCATACACAACTGCCTTATACACAACTTGACTATTCAGAGCAGGAATCAGCGTTCACAGTGGTAAGCAGTTTGAATTATTCAGGGTGCAGGGTCAGGGAGGAAGTTCAATATTACTACTAGGCAATTTGGGAGTTTTTATTGACATAGCTTAAGACTTTTTTTATCAGAATAGTTGTTAAAATAGTTGGGAGACTTCTGAGTTGCATAAGTAGGGCAGGAGAAGGAAGAAACAGTGGGATTGTTTTTATATTTGCATCATTATTTCGTATAAAAAAAGAGAAGGTATACTCTCTTTTTTTAAAAAAACCACCCACAATTTAAAAACCTACTAACATGATAAATTACTCTAGCCAAGTATAGATATGGTTTTGTAGGTGCGAAACTATTCTTGAATAATTCAAGTATGTAATATAACCTAGTTACCAGTAGCAATAGTTTGACACTATTTTGTAGGCAATTCTTGCTCTAGTAGCTGTTGCCAAGAGAGAGGAGGAGGATGGTCGTGTATAAAGACTAGCTCCAAACTATTTTCTGGCCTTAAGTGGTATTAGTATTTTATGTAATAGCATGATCACGGTTTTCTGTGTCCTGATCATCAAAAATACTTAATTAGATTCCTCTTCGTTTTCATAATGGTTTCGTGTTTTCTTGTTTCCTCGGTGTATGCCTATACTTCACTCTCTGGCCTGCTCCAAATCTCTGTGCACTAACTTTTGACTCTTCATGAAACAATTCAGACTCTATTAGGCCTATCCACTGCCACCCATCTTCAAAACTATTCCACCATGATTCAGTAAAAGGAGCCCTGATCTCTTCTATCATAAGCCATGTTTGCCCCTGTTTTGTGTCCTGTACTTTTTCTATCTAATGTCTTCCTCCACCTTGTCAGAGCTCCTTCACAAACCTGACATTTCCAGGAGGGTTTATGCATTTATTGCTTGTTCTCAAGCCTACAAAAAAGTTCCCTCTGCGTTTCAGCTCTTTGCAACTTGGCAAGCCTTGGCAGAAGTAACGCAGCCTTGCGTTTGATGCTGACTCAGCTTTTAGGACAGTTTTCTGCCTTGGTTTTCCTTATTGCTGTCTCACCAAAAAAGATAGTGGAGGGAGGAAAAAAAAGCCACTGTCCCTCTACATATGTTTCTGCTGAGTGACCTCCCCACACACAGCTGTTGCCCTGTGTGAGGCTTCAGCTTCTGCCCTGTGTATCTCCCCTCGGTGTGGGCGCAGAGGGAAGGCAGCGTTCCTGCCTGAGGGGCTTTGAGGAGGACGGACATTTGAACAAGGCTGTGAAATGGGTAGAGGAGACAAGCCAGAGACTCAGTAGAGCATTCCTGAAAATCTTTTCCTCTCTTTCCATCTGATCTTGAAACAATTTCAGTATGTAACCCCTTCTGGAAGAAGCTGTAGCATTTTCAACAAAAAGCAATTTTTTCTATTACGTGATTTCTTCTGGCATCATGCAGTAGTATGTGATTTAGAGTATTTAAGACTATAATCCAATGCATTTAAATCCCCTTTCAAAAAAGCTTTTTGATTTGTTTTGAGTTTTTTGTGTTTTGATGTTTTCAAGTTGGATTTGGGTGGGGTTTTTCTGTTTTGGTTTGATTTTCTTTTCATGAATCTTGCTGAAACTTTGGTTTGAGCTTAGTCTCTATGCTTGATATGGTACTTGGGAATTATTTAATGATTGTTGTGATAGTGTAGTGTTTCAGTGATCAGACTAGTCTTCTCATGTTGTGAACTGACCTGGGTATAAGAGAAGAGTTGACAAATCTGCTTTAATAACCATCTGATCAGTTCTGCTTTCCAATGGGAAGAGGAGACTCCTGAAGTACTAACAATACTTCTGCTCTACATCCAACTGTGCTGTTGTGTGTTTTCTTCTTATTAGCATCATGCAGTAGTGCTCAGTTTAACACCTCATTAAACTATGTAATCCAGTATTATTAAGGCTGCTCTTAAAGATGGCATGTGATTGTAGAAAAAGGTGAAAAAATAGTAATACTTGATTTACATAGATGCAAGTTAGACCTGCTTGTGCCGGAGTGATGGAAGAAGTAATAGATTTCAGGTCTAAAAGAGACCATTAAGAAGCCCTGTGTTTAAAGTCTGATGTGGAAGATAGGCCATGTGAATTGTTTTAATTAGTTCTTGTTCAAAGTAAATAATATCTTCCAGATAAATACTCATATTTCATTTTAAACAAACAAAACAACAAAAAAAGCATTCCAGTTAGGAACAATACTTGACTATTAAGTAAATGTAATGTCACTTTACTTGTCTGTCTTCCCTATGTCTTCCTCCCACCCCCTTTAATTTCTCAGCCTCTTTAATTATGGGTATCAAAACAGGTCAGAGTTGAGTAATAGTGATGTGGCGTGGAAAACAGAGTTAATAAACATACAGAGGTTTACATTTATTGTAAATCCAGGGAAGGATTGTGTTAGTCCTTTGACTAGAACTGCACAAGTTCTGCTAATTATCTCGTACTATCCTGAAGTCCTTTGGAGTAGAGATTCAAATGACAGTCTTATTTTATACATCTCTTATTATTTTACCACCGCAATTTATTATTCATTTGTAGACTTCCCTGATTTCAAATGCAAGGCCAAAATCTATACTATTTGCCATGCCAGTATTACAAACGATGTCTGTGAATGTGTACATACAAAAATACATACGTATATATGTAACAAAACAAGATCTTATCATTTATACTAGATTTGTTCTTGGTGGTTTTTTAATGAAGTAAACATTTTCTAAATCACAGTGAATTTGTTGACTTAAGCACTCCTAAGCAGTACTTAAAATATTTATCATTCTTGTTGCTTTCATGTTTTTCCTGCATTAATTTTTTAAAATGCCTTAGTACTCGTGAAATGTTTCAAATGCTGATATTTTTGCATTTTGTTTTTTAAAAAAGTAATTATTTCAAGATAGAGTATTTTACTTGAATGCTTTCTGAGATACTAAGATAGCAAAAAGGAGAACAAGGGTGTGGTATGACTTGACCTATCACAGCAGGTCAGTTGTAGCAAGGAAAATTCAGACTGGATAGGAGGACTTTTATCACTTTATGGTTAAGCACTGAAACTTTGAAAATATTTGATTGGACAAGGTCCTGGACAACCCAATCAAACTTTAGTTACTCTTGCTTTGAGCAGATTAGGTAACCCCCAGAGATCCCTTGCAATCTGAATTATTCTGTTGTAAAGCAATATAGAACCTGCATCTCCTGGAAAAGTCTGTATTTCAGTAAGTTCATCAAGCTGTCTTTACTGTTTCAGGGTTTTTTTAAACCTTAAGTGTAGTGTTATTTAGATTTAGCATGTATTTAGTATGTGTTTGTCTAATTTATTTCCTGAGTTACTGTTGTGTAGGACTATCTGCATTGCAGATTTTTTAAATGTTTTTGGAGAGTTGACCACAGCAGTTTTTTTATAGCCAGTTTTACAGTGTGCGCTGTGGATTTTAGAAATTGCAGTGATTTTAAATGATACAGCAATATTTGACTTAGCTAAGTTGTTGCAGAGCTGAAATAGCTTGCTTCCCAGCTATGCTTCTGTGTTTAACATGGTTGGAACTTTACTAAATGAAGTCCTGAAAAGAATTTTCTTGGTGTTACAAGCATGGTAGTAGCTAGTAGACAACACTTTCTTAAATAAAGATGTCACGTGACTTTATTTTTTCCAGAATTAAGAAAAGCAAACAAATAAAACACCAAAAATAATCTAAAACCAAAAGACAAACCACCCTACACTTCTGTATTTTCTGGACCACTTCCTGGATCTCTATACTTTGTGTTCAGGCAAGAATGTGTTTCTGCATTTGCTGCACTATTACTTGCTAGAGGAGAGGCAGGAGCAGTGGTAGTAGGTATTCTTCAGCTGTTAGCTTCTCTCTTGCCATTCATCTTTGATACAAAATAGGAACCTACAAAAACAGGGGAGAGGTCTGACTGCGTTTACCTGAAAGAGTTTGAGGAGGTGATCAGTACTGCAGGACAGCTGTTTTTGTATTTCAAGTGATAAAGGAGAGAAACTGTTTTTCTGACTTACTCTGGCACTTAGAAGCCAGATTTTTCAATCACTATCAGTGAGCATTATTTTCTTGCTTGCTGAAGTTACCTGACTGAAAGCACCTAAGGTTGAGGCTCATGCTGATGTGCTGACAGAATTTTGACTTGAAAAAACTATTTTATCTTAAAATTTACTGAAAGTTGTGATGATTTGCAGAGACGTTAAGCAGTTTTGCAATTCTGAACTGCCTGGTGCAGCAAATAAATGTGACACAAACTATAAAGTGCCAAAAAGAGAACATTTTCTTATTTTTTTTCTTTCAGGGAAATCTGATGAACCAAATTGTGATTGTGACCAGTTTCACTGCGCTAATGGGAAGTGCATTCCAGAAAGTTGGAAGTGTAATAACATGAATGAATGTGGAGACAACTCAGATGAAGAAATCTGTGCCAAAGCTAATCCTCCGACAGCTGCTTCCTTTAAACTTTGTGCTGACAATCAGTTCCGGTGTCTTTCTCGCTTCACCAAGCTTTACACTTGCCTTCCAGAATCTTTAAAATGTGATGGCAACATTGATTGTCTTGACCTAGTAGATGAAATAGACTGTAATGTGCCAACATGTGGGCAGTGGTTAAAATACTTTTATGGTACTTTCAGTTCTCCCAACTATCCTGACTTCTATCCACCTGGAAGCAACTGCACCTGGCTGATAGACACCGGTGACCATCGCAAAGTAATTTTGCGCTTCACTGATTTTAAACTTGATGGTACAGGTTACGGAGACTATGTTAAAATATATGATGGGTTAGAGGAGAATCCGCGGAGGCTGTTGCGTGTGCTGACAGCATTTGATTCTCATGCTCCCCTCACAGTTGTTTCGTCCTCAGGACAGATAAGAGTGCATTTTTGTGCTGACAAAGTGAATGCTGCAAGAGGATTCAATGCCACGTATCAAGTAGATGGCTTCTGTTTGCCCTGGGAAATCCCATGTGGCGGAAATTGGGGTTGCTACACAGAGCAGCAGCGCTGCGATGGCTACTGGCACTGTCCAAATGGAAGGGATGAAACCAACTGCACCATGTGCCAAAGAGATGAGTTTCCCTGCTCTCGAAATGGTGTTTGCTATCCTCGTTCAGATCGCTGCAACTACCAGAATCATTGCCCTAATGGTTCAGATGAAAAAAATTGTTTCTTCTGTCAGCCAGGAAATTTCCACTGTAAAAATAACCGCTGCGTGTTTGAGAGCTGGGTTTGCGATTCTCAAGATGACTGTGGCGATGGCAGTGATGAAGAGAATTGCCCAGTCATTGTGCCCACTAGAGTAATAACTGCAGCTGTCATCGGGAGTCTGATTTGCGGATTGCTGCTTGTCATTGCCCTGGGATGTACTTGTAAATTGTACTCACTCAGGATGTTTGAGCGAAGGTAAGTAGACAGACGGCCTTGAGAACTTAGATGATTAAATTTTTTTAAAGTATTTTTGTATATTTTATTGTTATACTTGAAACACTTTTATTGATAGATGATTGTTGTTGCATGTAATTTCTAAAGACGTTGCTCCTTCTTCCACAATAAAACGTTAGCTAAACGGGAATAGAAGTACTCTGATCACTTAACTATTGAGAGTTAAGCTTTTCGTGCTGTTACGAGAAAGGAAGTGTGAAAAAGCTGCCTTTCTGTAATTATGTATCTCAATTCTGTATGTAACATCATGTTTATTCTGTAGTAGACTATTTCATACCAGGTTTACACATTCTTCAAATTTTAGAAAATAAGCATCTCTTATGGTGCCTTTTACATATAACCTATGTTTGGGTGTGGGGTTTTTTTTAGGAATTGATTTTTGGGTTGATTTTGTTGTTCTTGTCTCAGCTAGACAGTTCTATAGGAATGACTACAAGGACTTATTGTATACTTTTTTCAATTAACAAAACTTCATGTGCTGAAATATATAATTTCAGATTATAATAGCCTGATGTTGTTTTAAATATATATACATTATAGTCTTATGAAATTTCTTTTCTCTTTGAAAGATCATTTGAAACTCATTTGTCAAGGGTTGAGGCTGAATTGTTAAGAAGGGAAGCTCCTCCATCCTATGGACAGTTAATTGCCCAGGGTTTAATTCCACCAGTTGAAGATTTTCCTGTTTGCTCACCAAATCAGGTAAGATTCCAAACCAGCAGGCACTTAAATTTTAAGGAGACTGAAATAAAGATATTTTGAATTTCATTTGCTTTTTCTTGTTCTGTAGCCTTTCCTTTTCTTCCTTTCAGGAGAGTACTGTTATACTAAGGGTTAGCCACGGGACAAAATCATGATAAAGTAGCACTGTTTTTCTTGCAGCTTTTTTTTTCTTGTTAGTGAATGCCACCTATGCATACTATAGAATCCCACTTGCATGAAAAGAAATAGATCAGTAGATCTAGTTTTGGGTTCTGTGTTATGTTGTTTTGTAAGTTAGATTGCAAACTAGCACTGAGAACTTTAGGAAAGAAGAATTGAGACTTCTAATGAAAAATGGTAGCTCATCCACTGCACATATGTGCTTAGATACAGTCACACCCACTATGCACAGAAAAGATGATGGCAAAGGTAAGGCTGTAATAATATCATAGAAAATTAACATGAGTAACAAAGAGATGGGAGATATTAGTGACTGGCCATCTTGGTGATGAATCATTAGCATAATTCTTATTTGTTTGACAATTGAATTTCTATCAAAACCACTTTTACGTTTTAAAAAAATTTGCTTTCAGTTGTAATGCTCTTTTGTGAAACAGAAGAGTTGTCTCAGTCAAGGAATCCTGCTGTGGTGTTGTATTAGAGTTGGCAGTATCTTGTGTTAAGTGTTATGTTTAATACAGTTAATATTAGCTGTTATCTAATATTGCTAAGTATGTAAGAAAATTCGTTACAAGACCATTAGAAGAGCGGTTTGTTTTTGTTTATTTTGAACAGAACTGACTTCATTACACTTACTCTGCCATAGATTTCACTTATTCTTTCATGCATACATGTTCACAAGCAGCAGCTGTGATCTGTCACAAAGGATTTTGCATAGGAAAAGAAGTTGCAATTTGCATGAGACTTTGAAAACACAGAGAAGACATTGTGAAGATTTTTCAGTAGCTAAATTAGCACTAAAACTTATTAATGAGCTTATTAATGAATGTCTGTAATGACCACTGTAGAATCCTTCATTCTAATTGGACAGGTTATTGTGATTATAATAAAGAACAGTGTGTTTCTGTTCAAAACCAGTTCTGTACTTTTACAAGTTTGGGTTGCCTGTCCTCTTTTGCAAAAGTAAGCTTCACCAGTTTGTGATGTAGCTATGCTCACAAGCCTGCTGAGGTAGGCTTAGCTCAGGAGAGCCTGTAGTACAGTGCACTTGTCGTGTCCAGATGTGTAAGTCCTCTGGTAAAAGGTAACTTGGAACAAACCAATGTTTCCTGCATGTCCCTATTCTGTATAGGACACGTTGAGTTTGGTACATATGGACATATTTAAGAACCATTACAGTTTTCAGGCAAAACTGAGCTAGCTTGGGCCAGTTTTTCATCATGCCACCCTAAGAAGGTGGCTTAATGATCTTGGTTTTTACTAAAATGAAATCTTCTGAAAGAGAGGACAGTTCTGGAAAACCCAGACATGTAGTGACTGCACTCAGATTGGTACCAGAGCTTTTAAAAAAGCTGTGCAATTACTAAAGTTTTGTATTATCTTCAGTTTGACTTAATTTGCATTAACTATTTTTGCTTTGGATATAATTTAATTTACTTTTCAGAACTAAAAGATTGTCAGTTTTTCAAAATTCACTATCTTGCATAATCATACGTGGCAAAATGTTGTTCCTTCAGAGTCTTTCTATGTAACCATGATTTAACACTCTATAAAAATACTGATCCATTTACAATAGTTTTGAATGATGTGAGAATGTTCATAATGGGAATTTACTAAGACCGGTATTTCTGCTTTGACTTGTGGCCTTGAAAACTTAAGTAGCTATACTGGGAAGCTAACTAGCATAAAAATAAGGAATAATAAAGAGCAGGCCATCACCTTCAAAAATAATGGAAAAGTCATTCTAGAGCACTGATGCTTCCTTGATAATTTTTTTTTTTTTTTACTCTTTTATAATCAGTGAAGTTTCATTGTTTAAAGCAAGTTATTTTTCAGAGGAGGGAACATCTATAACAGTAAAAGTTTAAGAGGCAAAGTAATAAATTGTATTCTGTAAATTATAACACTCAATTTTTTTAATATAGTTAAGTGTTGGAAGGAAGGTTTCAGTATTAAGTTTGGGATGCGTTCAGCTTGCTTTGTTTTGGTCAATATATACATTTTAAGATTGCAAATCTGTGTAGGACCCCTAGTCAAGATTTCCTAGAAGTAGTCACAGGCTAGAGGAATCTTGGTCGTTCTGGTTTGCATGTAATGCTTTCTGCCTAAAACTGGGACATGCCTTCAGAGCTGGATTTTCACTGGGGTAGCAGTCTCTCCAGTAGCTTTTGAAAGCAAGGCCACTGAATATATGTATTTATATGCTTGAATTCAAATATTCTGTGAACTATTGGAAGGGAAGAGGTAGGTCGTTTGGGTGCTGTGCTGTGTATGCCCTGTGGCGTCTGAATGATTATGGAAGGGAGCTGAAGTTGACAACATGAGATCACTGAAGTTCAGCATTTGTAAACCAAGTGAAATAAATGCGTATATGTTAAGTGTTTAATTGGGATGAAAAACAGCTCATCCAAAGAATATTCCATATTTTTGCCATGATCTTAAAAGATGCACATATGGACTCTATCCTGTAATTAAATAGATCAGTGGCTATTTTCAGTATTGTGGACATCTGGCAGATCTGCTACCTTAGTATTTGAGAATTGAGCTACTTAACTGAGGCATCGTTTTCTGTAAGTTAGAGTAAGGGACCCCACATCAAAGGTGTTAATATGTCTGTGTTACCTTATAGGTTAAAAGCTGTACAAGTTTTAAGGAGAAATATTCAGGCACGCATTGCTCTGTAGCAGAATGAATAGGAAATGTATACTGAATTTGGGAAATGTGTAATTTAGAACACACAAGATAATTTTAGTTAAACAGAAACATTAAAGCATTTTGAAACTAAAATTAACTGATTTTTGCCAGAATGGGGGGGAAAAAAAATCAAACTACAAGCCTCTGCTAGAGAGGATGTTTAATTTAGTCTCTATTCTAGGCAACCCCATAGTAGTGGAAAAGGAAAGGTCACCTCTGTGAAATCTTTCTGGAAGATTTTGTCTGTAAAACCTAAACTTCTTAAGGCATGGTTCTATGTAATGTACTCTAAAATAACTACTAAAGTAACTACTTTATCTTCATAGCAAAAGTGTAGCAGATCAAAACTGTAACAGATCTTGCATACTTGCTGCACTGGGCCTGTGGATGTTCTTCTCTGAAATGAGTGTTCCAAAGCCCCATTATAGTGCCTTGCTTTTTGCTTTGCCTTTGTTGAGAGGTGCTTGATTTGTGCAGAAATGTACCTTATATACTTCATTGGTCTTTTACTTCCATTTTTACTTCCCTTTTACTTCCATACGTATTCTTGCTTAATTTCCCTGTTACAAGGTTTTTTTCCTGAAGAGAATCTAGACTTTTTTCACTCCTACTTTGTTTTTAAAACAACATCTTGCTACATACACCAGATCCTTAATATTAAAGGTGCAAGATTTTATTTTTACATTTAAGACTCTACATTTAACTTTGTGTTTATATGCCTGCCATACTTTTTTTGTTAGAACGGTGCCAACGTCGTGTCAACACTTGATTGTTCCTTGTGTTCTTATTTAGGCTTCGGTTCTGGAAAACCTGAGACTGGCAGTGCGATCTCAGCTTGGATTTACCTCAATCAGACTTCCTATTGCTGGCAGATCAAGCAACATTTGGAATAGAATTTTTAATTTTGCAAGGTCACGTCATTCTGGATCATTGGCTTTGGTCTCAGCGGATGGAGATGATGTTGCCAGCCAAAGTACTAGTAGAGAAGCTGAAAGAAATAATACTCACAGAAGTCTGTTTTCAGTTGAATCTGATGATACAGACACAGAAAATGAAAGAAGAGACACAGCAGGAGCCGTTGGTGGTGTTGCTGCCACCTTGCCTCAGAAAGTCCCACCTGCAACAGCAATAGAAGCAACAGTTGGAGCGTGTGGGAGTTCCTCTGCTCAGAGCGGCAGTAATGGTAACACGGATAGCGGAAGAGAAGTGACAAGTGTAGAGCCCCCAAGCACAAGTCCCGCACGTCACCAGCTCTCTAGCGCGCTAAGTCGTATGACTCAAGGCTTACGCTGGGTACGCTTTACTTTAGGGAGATCAAGCTCAGTGAATCAGAACCAAAGTCCTTTGAGACAGCTCGATAATGGGGTAAGTGGAAGAGAAGAGGATGATGATGTTGAAATGTTAATTCCAGTCTCTGATGTAGCATCAGACTTTGACATGAATGACTGTTCAAGACCTCTACTTGATCTCAGCTCAGATCAAGGACCAGGGCTTAGACAGCCTTACAGTGCAACACATCACGGTGTGAGGTCATGCAGTCGAGATGGCCCCTGTGAGAGCTGTGGCATCGTACACACTGCCCAGATACCCGACACTTGCTTAGAAGCAACAGTGAAAAATGAAACTAGTGACGATGAGGCATTATTACTCTGCTAGGTACGGGTTGTTTAGGAAAGATTGTGTACAAGTTGGAGCAATATCTGTCATTGTTTTGTACTTCACAGTTAAAACTAGTTTTTAGTTTTAAAAAAATCCAGGGCGACTTTATGTTAAAACTCTTTTAGCCTGTGTGGTTGATTTAAACATTTCTTATACTGGATGGTGTCATGGGACTGGTAGAGTGAACATTTTAATGGCTCTGAGGACACAATGTGTGTATCCAGTATAATCTGATTACTCTTTAAATGGAAGCTATCCCAGGTAGTTTCAAATTTAGTTTATCCTGGTACTGTAGTTCAAACCAGAAACATGGCTGCTCAAGACTTATCTGGCTGCCTGTTTATACCCCATATTAACAGGTGAATTTGTACAGAATTATTTTCCTTTAGGAATTGACTCTGTTGTATTATTGCCAACATACTTGTAACTTAATATACTAAATACTGATAAGAATTGTTAATGTAAAATATGATATGTACTTTTCTTTGAGTTTATACAACACTTTGTCTAAATATTCTGGAATTTCATCATAATGTGAACTTAAAGGGAGGAGAAACTTTCTCCAGGAGCATTCATTTTCTTTCAGAAGTACAAAATGCAATGATTTGTGAAATTCAGATACAGCAGATAAACTGATGGCAAAAGCTTTTATAGCACTGACTTTCCTAAACTGCAGTCTAATATGGTACAGCCAAATAGTATATAAAATCCCCAGTCATTCGACTTTTCAACTTGAGGTAAAAAAGGGCCGAAGATACTACAATATGTGTTAGTTCTTTAAATATCTGATATGTACAAATACACTACAGAATAAGTTCCAACTGGTAGTAGAAAAAAAATACTGGAGGGTATAAAGCTTGTTTGGACTCAAGGGATTTGCACTAAAATCATATTAAGGTCTCTAATGAGCTTAGTGCACAAGCACTATCACTTTAAGTACTATTATTGTCTAATATTGCAATGGCTATATATTTCCATGGCTCTTTTCTTGGGGTGTTGCATTTTTGTTGCAATTGAATTTGCTTTACTAATTCCCTATTTATTCGTTGTATTTAAAAACTGGTTTACTTGGTTACAGACTGGTTGTTTAAAAAAAAAAAAAAAGAGATCCCTTTTAGTGTATTTTTTTATGATATTCCATGTTGGAGCAAAACAGATCAGTGGGAAAAAAGCTCATAACTTCCAATTTTGTGATAACCAAGTTAATATGTGGCTACTAGTGTGACAACGAGAATCTACACGTTTTAAAAACAAAAATGTCAACTACTGTTTTATTTATTCTTTGCCAGTCTGTTTTTAGTAGGCTTAAAGATCCAGTATGAAATGTATTTGTGTGTGATTGTATGCTATTTATTAAATTTTAAATACTTTGTTGAATGTCATTTTAAAGCATGTTTAAAGTCTTGTGCATTTCTGTCGTGTTATGCTGTCGGGCAGAACTGACTAAAATGTTTTAATATGTATCAAAATTAAATTGAATTTTTGTTATGTTTTTGAGGTACTTTTAAAGATAAATCCAAGGTTTGTCTGGCTTTTTATTACTTTTTTTAAATCCTCATCTCTGAAGTACAAATCATATGCAGAAGAAACAAATAATCGAATTGATTCCAAAGTGTATATATCTTCTTCTTCTTCTCATCCTTCACAGGCACTGGGATGAGAAAAAATAAACAATTTTACCATCTGGTTGACTTTATTAATGAGAGTTAGCAGGTAAATTCTGAGTTCAGGACACGATTATGTAGATTTGTGCTTTTGAGGAACCTTATGTGCAATACGGTTGTGAAAGATTTTATTACAATGACCCATGCGGTTTCGAGGTTCAGAACAGATCCCATCACACTGGTACCAGATCAGGTACAGACTGGCCCATAATTACACATACCTGAGTAAAAGTTATCAATGGCCATTTTTATTCACATTGAATAATATCTAAATCTGTTGGGTAATCTTTAGTCTGATTTCAGTGGCGTTGCTTATTGAGCAGGCACCTTTGCAATATGAACATGGTAACACATCCTGCAATATATGTGAACAGTATGTCCTGGTATAAAATACTGGGTTTTTAAACCTTCCTAACTGTCCTTAGAAAGTGGTTATGGAAATGTTTGTCCCCAAGGCAAGTATATTTTGAAGAAAGAATCTTCACAGAATAACTTGGGTGTTAAACACACACACAGTGATCTAAATTTGTTCCATTAGATGCCCCAAATAGCGTGTACCTATGGACTCCATATTGCAGACGTAAAAAGAACACAATGTTTAATTTGTTTTAAAGGAGAAATGCTACACATTTAACTGAGAAGTTGGCTTTGATTGAGAATTTGGAAAATTGTAAATAAAATGCATATTTGTATGAGGCTAATTTGTTGCAGTGATTTTTTTTTCTGTAATGATTTTAATGCGAGTAATCAATTTTTATTTTTATCAATGTATGAGTGACTGGGATTTTGGTTTTGTTTGGTTTGTTTTTACTGAGGCTTCCATTAAGTCAATTACTCAATTTCTTTTTATTCTGGAGAACTTGAATTAGTGTTTTATTTAAGTTAGTCTTGATTTAGCTGTGCTACAATGCTAGGGCATTATAAAGAAAAGTAAGAATTATTCAGAGGGCAATGATCTTATTTTCTGTAATATCACTTTCATATGAAAGCTTTCAAGAATGTAAGTTATTGTGAGGTGAGTTTCCTCCCCATGTAAAGCTTTCTAAGCATGGAAGGTGTTTCTCATTGTTTCTTTTTACATATTACACTTTTCTTGTCATTTGATTTGCTTTGAAACATGAAGTTTCTTATGCTGCAAAAGCTTGTTTTGTTTCCAAAGTCAAGTACATTTTCAGTACAAGTTCAGCAAGTATTGCTAAGTCTTCTTTCAAAACAGGTTCCCAGAGAGAATTAGTTACAGTATCTTCTGTTTCACTTCTTATTCAAATGGTAAAGCAAGAACTTGTGGTAAGGCTTTGATTCACTGTAGGGAAGTTTGGGACAAAAAAAATTTCAGTGGGTCTTTAATTACTCACTGCAGATCAAAGGTAATCACAGCTTTTCCTGCTAGGATGAGTTTTTGCTTTCTTTCTGAAGAGTTAATGTTTACTGGCCTGTTCCGTTCTCCTGCAGCTCCTGCAGTAGTTCTGAGAAAGTACTGCACATTTCCTGTACATCTTGATTTAAGTCAACAGCTTTGATTGTCCTGTAGTTGTGATAAGACTTTTGAGGGGAGTGATCTGTTGGTTTGTGGGGGTTTTTGGCTGTATCTCTTCTTCCTCACCTGTAGGTTTCGGAAAATAAGCAATTGGTAACTGAACTCCTCCAAGACATCAGCTACAATTCTGAAGGGACAACGGAGAAGTCTATCTTGTGCCTTTGCCAAGTCACTGAATGTACGGAGAGGTGAGCAGACCGATAGTAAAACTCTTTACCTTGTGTCCTGGTGGGATTTGTCTATGGTAGTTGGCTTTCCCTTATCAGAGTAAATTGGACTTGGTTTAGATAAGTTTTCTAGCACATTTCTTCCATGTCAGTGCATTTGTCGAGTCAAGGCTTCTGTTCACATCCTGTACCACACTGTGCTCTGTCTGGTGAATAGTAACTTGAGGGAAGAGAATATAGGATTCACTAAATTGAACTAGTATCAGGTGGACAAGACTTCTCTCATATCCTCCATCAGTGAAAGAGGATCTCAGAGAAGGAGCTCTATAAGCAGTCTAGGTTAGCGAGTCCAGCTGTGCTTTGAGAAAGGCCATTTGTGGAAAGCCCGCGTTAACAAAAGGTAGCTCAGCTTTCTGAATATCCAGGCACAAGTTAATGTTTGCATTTAATACGCACACACTGAAATCTAGCAAAAGAGTTTAGCTTTCAGCATTAGTTTCTCCTTGTGACCAAGTTGCATTGTATTGTCAAAGTACCAACAAAAAGATAGAATCTGATGTATTTCACCTGCATTCAGTTTAAAAGATTATTTCACGTTACAGTCACCTTGTATGCTGCTTGTGGAGGAAAGAATGGAACACAGGAGGCGAAAAAAATTAGATTAAAAGTCACTATATTTTGAATTTGAATGATGGCAGAGTTGTAATAAAATGGACTAGAAACTCTAAACGAATATAATCTATTACATTGCAAAAAGGATTTATTTTTTCTTAGATAAGTAACTGTAGGATACACCCCCTCCAAAAAAAAAAGATTGGGTAGAGTATGTCAAATTAGGAATGTATAAGAGAAGAAAAGGAGGAGTTCTGGTTCAGGGTGCTTTTCCTAACAAAGAATAATGGTTTCTCACGCAAAATGTAAAGGATGAAGGAATAAGCTTGTTTTAAGGAATAAGGAAAAGATCCCTGAAATAAGGATACATTGTAGATATTACCCAACAGGGCAGGTATCTGAATCCAGATCAGAAATCTCGGATTTTGTCACAGCATTGTTGACTTGTGGTGTTACAGAGGTAAGACAGAACAATTGGTGGAATTGCATTTATACCTTTGCAACCAAATGGTCATGTATTTAAAGGTATGCCAACAGAAATGCAGAAATATTTTTAGCAGCTTCTCCAGGTGTGGAAAACTGAGCAAAAGGTAAAACTTAGTTTTAACCATTTTGTCTTTCTTATGGTCAGTTAAGGACCTCTGACAGCCACAGTTAGAGGAAGTGGTTCTGGTGCACCAGATAAGAAACAGAGGCAGGAGTAGAGGATGGTGAGGGAAAGTCATAAACGGGCATCTTCTGCAGTGGTATGGCAAGGAACAGAGGTGTGCAGCTTTGCTTTCTCTTACCTGCTGTGTTGGGCAGCAGTTACAATTCTGACTTCATGCTCCTTCAGAAGAGAGATGTTGAGTTTGAGCATTGGCCAAAACAATATAAATAATCTTTTGCACTGTTTTCGTCTAGATAATGCATTAGTAAAGAAATAGTTTCCAAAGGAAGCTAATCTTTGTGCTTTAAAAAGCCCACCTGTGAACTGGCTTTCCTCGGCAGAGATTATCCAGCAGAAAACAACCAACAGATCTGATGAAATTTTTTCACAGAATGTCCTGAGACCTTAGAACTTTAGAGCCTGGGTTGAACTGCCTTTGTGGTCTCACAGATTTTTAGAAAGTTGTTATTTTATTGGACCCTTATTAAGCTGCTATGGGAAATGAATATTGAAAAGAACATAGTATTAGGTCTTCTTAGATGCTCCTCTGCTGAGTTCCTGGTCTGTCTTTTCTCTTCCTTGGTTGTGCTCTCTGATCCATCGTTTATGTTGACCAAGTTGGTGAGACACTGGAACAGGTTGCCCAGAGAGGTGGTGGAAGCCCCATCCCTGGAAGTTTTTAAGGCCAGGCTGGATGGGGCTCTGAGCAGCCTGATCTAGTGGGAGATGCCCCTGCCCATGGCGAGGGGGTTGGAACTAGATGATCTTTAAGGTCCCTTCGAACCCTAACAATTCTATGATTCTATGACTCTAAGTTCAAGGAGCAAGGTTTGCCTGGAAACCGAGACAGAGTACCTGTGGTGGATCTCCCCCTTGGGAGGAAATACAATTTTGTTGACTGACAGCGAAGCCTCAGGATTTTGAGGACTTGAGGTTTTCTTTATAGATGGACCATGAGGTGACCAATCTTATACTGCCCAAGTGGCTTCCTGGGCAGGGGGAACAGACTCAAAGAGTATTGCGTCCAGCTCTGGAGACCTCAACACAAGAAGGACATGGACCTGTGGGAGCAGGTCCAGAGGAGGGCCACAGAAGTGATCAAAGGGCTGGAGAACCTCTCCTTTATAAAGACAGGCTGAGAGAGTTGGGGTAGTTCAGCCTGGAAAAGAGAAGGCTCCATGGAGACCTTATGATGACTTTCAATACCTGAAGGGGACCTGCAGGAAAGCTGGGGAGGGACTATTTATGAGGACATATAGTGACAGGATGAGGGGCAATGGTTTTAGACTGGAGGAGGATAGATTTAGATTAGATATCAGGATGAAGTTCTTTA